TTTATAAAATAAATAAATAAGAAATTAAATACACTTCTAGTGTGCATGAATGGTAAATTGGTGATGCCAAACTCCTCAGAGTGTCTTATAAACTAGTGCAGAAACTTGATTTACTTTTAGAAATGTAATCTTTAAATTTTTCTGAAATCTTTGACCAAATCACAAGAAGTAATGTTTACTTGGAATAAATTATAGGAGTAGTTATTATTCATTCAGAGAATAATCTCACTCAGCTGTTGAGAAGAATTTTGAGGCGGCAAATCCCTTTTTGGGATAAATTGCAAAACATAATAAATTCTGTTGAAAATCAATACTCTGGAAGTTCTGAAATAGTCTTTAGAGATGAATTATTTTGACATGCATTTAAATTAAATCTTTAAAATTATTTTCACAGTAATTTTAAGGCTACATGCAGAGTTATTCTGAATCACATATATTAAATTTTACTTCTCTAGGCATTTTGGAGGTAGTAAAAATGTACTTGTATAAATTACTTGATTAGAAGATCAGTAGGAGTTAAAGAAATATGAACTGTAGGACATTTTTCAATCAATGCAAAGACTGGAAATAAACCAACATATTGCCTTGAAGACAGATCTCAGTATGCTATATTATTCTGTACAACTTAGTAATATACTGAAATCTAAAGCTTTTAATATATAAAATGATGATAATATACATTACGTGTTTAAAGTAGTTGTGAGGTGAGAATGCAATTGTGAATTTAAAGAAAATGAAAGTTGTGCCTGGATTTAATAAATATTATGACCAGGATTGGGGTCCAGATCAGTCACCAAATCCTCAGAAAGGAAGGGGAAGAAATCATGAGTATTCCCACTCACACTTACCTCACATATTCTCAATGATCTGGCAAAAAGAATTCTTGGGGAAACAGTGGTGCCCACCACCAGGTCCTTAGCATCCTCATGACTCTGATCTTTGATTTTTAGGGCAAATTATTTTTACTTTTCAGGCTTAGGCATGAGTAAAAGTGTCTTTCTCTTTTTCCCCCTTAGTTTAGAAAAAATAGGGTGATATTATGAAAAACAAGCAAAAGAGAATTAACTGAGGAAATAAAGCCAAAAAAAAAAAAAAAAAAAAGAGAGAGCGAGCGAGCTAACAAAAAGATTATGAAACAAAACATAAATCTACAATGGCTTTCTGATGATAAAAGAGTTAATATTATCCACAAATCTGAGTTTCATTCATTCTTGTTCTATAGTCTGGTCTTTGCCAAGAAAATTTTCTTTTCATATGTGTAAATAATTATTCCTATTCATTTTTTTCTCTGCATATTCTCCTGGAGTAGACCAACATGAGTTAATTAGACTGCTGATATTTTCAAGATGTCATGGACAATAGAATGTTATTCCTTAACTCATATTCAGAGACTTTTAACTATCTCAGACAGAAATCCCACAACAGACCCTTTCACAAATTACTGAGTAAATTAATACTTAAGTGATATATTAGTGATTATGTATGAAAATATCACTAGTGAGTTATGTTTATCTAGAATGGACAATGTTTTATACTGTAAATGTGCAAGTTTACTACTATGTTATCTTACCCTTTCTGTTGATTACAATTTGTAACATTTCTAAATCTATATCAAAATCTGAAGATGATTTATACTTGGTCCTTAATAAAAGATAATTCATGATTTACATTGAGAATGTTAAAATGTAACAATACATCCTCTTTCACCATCTAATTTCAACAAAATAACAGAAACATAATTACTCTGTTGTAATTTAATGAGTATATGAGAAGTGTCCCAATAATAAAAATGAGAAATATTTTTATATGCCATCCCAGGTGAAATTTTCTCTCAGAAAAAAATGATAATTTCAAAGCAGAGCTACAAATACAGAGTTAATAATTCTAATAAATATAGTAAAGATAATGAATCAGAAGTAATAGGCATCTTTTCCTAGCCATATAGAAGGAATTGTTACTAGAATGAGTATCACATAATTTACTGTGCATTATAATGTGGGAGAACTTTTTAAGATATTTTTAAATGAAATCATGCTAGTATTTGAAGGAGATAAACAAAGG